GTGCTGTGCGGGCGGCGCTGGCGGCGCGGGCCAAGTGGGGACTGCTCCGGGAACGGGAGCGCGAACCCGGGAGAGGCCCCTCTACCGCCTCCGGAGCTCCCAGGTGGAGCTTTAGAAAGGGGGTGCGCAGGACCGGGGGTGGGGGTTATCTGTGGGGTTTGGGGGCCACGCCCCTTGAAAGAAAGTAGTGGGGACACAGCCAAGCCTGTGCCTTCTCAAACCAGTTCCTGGCTGGCCAGGGTGTCCCTGCTGTCCCACCTCCTCATCCTGACTCTGGGATTCTCTCTGTGTTCCATGGGCACAGACTGCTTCACTGGCCCTTGGGGAGCACTCCCCAGGTCCCCTCCTGTCCTCGGGTTTGGGGTGTGCTGGGAGGAGGGTGCCACGCTAGCTCTGCCCAGCCTTGCAGGAACACCCAGCCAGTGCCCTAGGCAGAGGTGTGAGCCAGGCAGCTGGGAGGGGCCCAGGAGCTTCGAGTCAGGCTGCTGGGACAGCCTGGGTGGAGGCCTGGCTCTGGACTGGGCTGGCCAGTCCTTGTGGCTTCAGGGTGCATTCTGGGGAGAGAGAGAAGGTGCCCACGGACAAAGCACACAGCCCTTTGCTGGATTGCTGGGGCCCCCAGGTGGCTGCTTGTGCGTGTGGACCCCCAGAAAAGTCCTGGGGCTTTGAGCAGCTGCTCTGAGCAGGCACCCCAGGGAAGGCTGAAGCAGGACTGCAGAGCCCCCAGGTCCTGGTCCTGAAGGGCTGGTGGAGAGCAGGGCCACTTGGGACCACCTCCTATGACCTCCAACAGATAAGGGACAGTGACAAGGGCAGCCTCTCCCCTGGGTTCTGATAGCCACTGCAAGGAATGCCAGTGTCTTCCCCATCCCCTAAGCCCAACCTGGCTGAGCCCCAGGAGGACCCAGAGTGGGAGGCCATGACCAGCCAGCTCTCCTCTGCCGAGGACTCGGCCTTTGTTTCTCAGGATGAGGAGTCATGGTGTGGTCCAGGGCCAGGAGAGGGACGGGGTGACTGTTGTGAACATTCCTCCAGCTAGAAATTCTGTCCTGTGACGGGTGGACTGCCTATCCCCTGGGCCTAGCCCTTACCCGCTGAAAGCTCTGTCTCCCCACACCAGGCTGCCCTGTGGGACACCCCCACACCAACTTTGCCCTCTGGTCTGGCTGTGATTCTGAGCCCACTGCCCATGTGGGAAGCTGTGGCTCCATGCATTGCCCCCTGTGTATGCCAGGCCGCAGACCCCTACTCCCACCAACACCCGGTATGCCTAGTCCTTCCAGAACAGGTGGAAGGGCCTCCTGGGGGCCAGTTTGGTTCAGTCTCCCTAGAGCCTGGGGTCTATCTGTGCTTCCCTCCCCCGCCCAGCAGGCCCAGCACCCAGCCGGGCCTTGGAAGAGTGAGTTTTTCCTGGACAGACCCCAGGCCTGGTGGGGGTGAGCCCAGCAGGGTGCCTCCCTGTCTGGTGTCCCTGCCTTGCTGGGACTGGCCAGGTGACCGTGGCTGTGTCTGAACTCTCTGTCCTGTACTCTGGGGCAGAGGAAGTGGCCTGGGTATCCTTTCTGGTCTTTGTTCCATAGTGGGCCCAGGGGACCTAGCCATGGCTTGGGATCCCCCTCTCTAGGCCAGCAGCCCTGTGCCCCAGGCCACTCTTCCTGGCAGCCACTGCTGGGTGGTAGGCGAGAGAGTGGGCCCAGGGCTGGGCTGGAGTTTGGATGGTGGCTTCTTCAGCAGGGTCCCTCCCGTTTAATATGAAAAGTAGGGCCCGTAATTGTATTAAGACGTGTGTAATTATCCCGGAGGAGGGGAGAGCCCAGCCCCTGGTAATTGCAGGCCTGCTTTGAACTGATAAACGCTGAGTGATTCATGTTTTCTTTGGAGTTCACATGTACTCCGCTCAAAGCTGGGCCCGCTGCCTCTGCACTGAACCTGTTCTCTGGCTCCCTGATCTGTTGTGGGCTGCCCCGGGGCAGGTGGTGGAGGGTGGGGACTCTGGTCCTGGCGCCCTGTGGGGGCCCCTACTGGCCACTGTTCTTGAGGCAGTGTCTGCCCAGGAAAGACAGCTGACAGCTTGTTGGGAGGGGCCCTGCCGGGTGGCACAGTCTTGCTTCTCCTGCTCTGGGGCCCTGCTTCAGTTTACCGCATTTCACAGTGGATGCTCCCAAGGCACACCCTGGACAGGGTGTGTGGAGAAGGGTATAGCTGGGCCGCTGCTGCCCTGTCCAGGCCTGGCTGTCCTTCCACTTGTCTCTTCATCTCATTCATTCACACGTCTATTCACTCATTTAGTAACCAAGGCCTCCTGGGTCCTGGGCTGGGCTCTGGGGCACTGAGGCAAACCATACAGAGCTGCAGTTTTACTGGGGAGAGGGGACAATAAATGACAGCATCCACTTGGGAGCCCTGTACTGCAAGTGGAGATGGGTGGCAAGGAGTGGGTCTGGGACATGTCGTCTCTGCTGAGAGACACTTGAGTTGGCGTGGGTGGTGGCTTTACATCAGGGAGGACAGGAGGCATGGGGCAGACCCACTGTGGCCAGCTCTCTGTCAGACTTGGTGGAAGCCTCTGTCTTCTGCTTTAGCTTCCCTGCCTGTGAGATGGGCTGCCAGGCCCTCAGAGGGCACTGTCTGGCAGCCCTTAGGGAGGTACCTGCCCATACTCATGGCACCTGGGGCAAGTCTGGGGGGCACTGCTGGCACTGAGAGGGTAGCACTTTTGGGGCAGGCTGTGACCATCCCTCTTTTCCTGCCCGACTGCCTCCTGCTCTGCTGGGGAGAGGCGAGCTTTTCCAGAGGTGGGGGTGGGGTGGGGCAGCACAGCTCAGGCACCGTGGCCTCCTGCACAGGTCAGAGGAGTGGCCTGAGCAGCTACATCCTTAAGCCCTGGCTCAGGTGGGTATAAGGTGCCCAGTGCAATGCTGTTCAGGTGGGCAGGCAGTTTGGGGGGTATTATGGGTGACCTGTGGTGAGGGCACTGTCATGGAGATGTCCAGGCTGGTGTGACACGGGCAGTGCTGGGGCAGATGGGCGGTAAGGTCCTGGGTAAGGGTTGCAGGTTTGGCTGCACACAGACACTTGGGGAGGTGCTGAGAGACAAGAGGGACCCAGGGACCCCACTGCCACCCTCCCCTTTGGAGCCATTCCTCTTGACTCGGCATTGGTGTGAGGCTGAGGGCCTAAGCCCAAATCTACCCACAGCCAGGAGGGCCAGTGGGGTGCAGTGGTGGGAGGTGCACGTGGCCTGGCTCCTCCCTGCTCATGGGAATCTTGTCTTGGAGTGCAGTGAGTGGGCCCAGGGTGGGACCCACAGAGGGCGGCCTATGCTGCTTCTGACCATTCTGACAAGCACTGTCTATGTGGCCACAGAACCAGGGTGTCCTCATGGGGCCTTTGCAAGCGTGCAGGGGAGCACTCAGCATGTTGGAAAGTGCTCAGTGGGGATCAAACTCTGACGGGCACCCAGCAGGGACCTGGGGTGCAATTGGAAGAAGGATTACCAGGACCCAGACCATCTTCAGCCCCGTGTGTCCCTGTGCACACAGGCCTGGGCCACTCCTCCCCTTTGCCCAGGACAGCCCCAGGTGGACACAGCCCCAAGAGCCAGAATGAGGTCACCAGGGCTCAGGCCTACTGTTTGTGTGGGGACATGTAGAGGTGGCACTGAGTAGCAAAACCCATCTGTGTGTCCTCTAGGGTGACGGTAGTCTTGTGCTCCTTAACAGCTTCTGCTGGGGAGGGGGAGTCTCCCACCCTCTGGGGGCAGGGCCTTGTGGATCTTGCTTCCTAGGGCACAGGTAGGCTCCCCGTCATAGGATGCTGCTCCCCAAGTTAGAGTGCCAACTGGGTCCCCATCTAGACCCAGGCCCTCATGGAGGATGTCAGGGCCTCCTCTCAGGCAGAGCCAGGAGCCATGTGGGATGGGCACTTGCGGGAGATGAGGTGTGCGTCTGGATGCACGGGTTATGCTCACACTCATTCATATACTCTTGCCTGTTCTCTGCAGGGCTGAGGTTCCTGGCCCCATGATGCCCAGCCCTGCAGGACCCGAGCTCCGAGTCACCAGGCACCGGCCCGCCATGCCACTGCCACCTCTGAGCCCATATGTGTTCCCCATGCTGCTGCTCCTGCTCCTAGGCAGCATGTATGCTGCCGTGGGTTCACCCAGGGCTGGCGGGGGTCTCCAGCCCGCCTTCCGCACCTTTGTGGCTAACGACTGGGGCCTCACCCACCTGGTGGTCCATGAGCAGACAGGCGAGGTGTATGTGGGGGCCGTGAACCGCATCTACAAGCTATCTGGGAATCTGACGCTGTTGCGGGCCCACGTGACGGGCCCCGTGGAGGACAACGAGAAGTGCTACCCACCCCCCAGCGTGCAGTCATGCCCACATGGCCTGGGCAGCACCGACAACGTCAACAAGCTGCTGCTGCTGGACTACGCCGCCAACCGCCTGCTGGCCTGTGGCAGCGCCTCCCAGGGCATCTGCCAGTTCCTGCGGCTCGATGACCTCTTCAAGCTAGGTGAGCCGCACCACCGCAAGGAGCACTACCTGTCGAGCGTGCGCGAGGCCGGTAGCATGGCAGGTGTGCTTATCGCCGGGCCGCCGGGCCAGGGCCAGGCCAAGCTCTTTGTAGGCACGCCCATCGATGGCAAGTCCGAGTACTTCCCCACGCTATCCAGCCGCCGGCTCATGGCCAACGAGGAGGACGCTGACATGTTCGGCTTCGTGTACCAGGATGCGTTCGTGTCCTCGCAGCTGAAGATCCCGTCGGACACACTGTCCAGGTTCCCAGCCTTTGACATCTACTATGTGTACAGCTTCCGCAGCGAGCAGTTTGTCTACTACCTCACCCTGCAGCTGGACATGCAGCTGACCTCGTCCGATGCCGTGGGCGAGCACTTCTTTACCTCTAAGATCGTGCGGCTGTGCGTGGACGACCCCAAGTTCTACTCGTATGTGGAGTTCCCCATTGGCTGCGAGCAGGCCGGTGTGGAGTACCGCCTGGTGCAGGACGCCTACCTGAGCCGGCCCGGCCAAACCCTGGCCCGCCAGCTGGGCCTGGCCGAGGATGAAGATGTGCTGTTCACCGTGTTCGCCCAGGGCCAGAAGAACCGTGTGAAGCCACCCAAGGAGTCAGCACTGTGCCTGTTCACGCTCAGGGCCATCAAGGAGAAGATCAAGGAGCGCATCCAGTCTTGCTACCGTGGCGAGGGCAAGCTCTCGCTGCCCTGGCTGCTCAACAAGGAGCTGGGCTGTATCAACTCGGTGAGCAGTGTAGGCAGGGCAGGTGCCCACCGCCTGGTAGGGCATGTCCCTACCGGGCCTTCCGTGCACTGGGTCTTGCTGTGTGCTGGGACTGCTCTTGCTGCCACCTTGGCCCTGTGAGGTCAGAGGTGGGTCTGCATCCAGAGCACTGGCCCCAAAGCCTGTTTCTGGACATGACACTATTCTGAGTTCACAAGCCCTTGGGCATGTTGGATGGAGCTCTGACCACGTGCCTAGCACTGTGCTGGGTGGTGGCCCTGCTCCGTCCTTGTCTCTGTTTTGCAGATGAGGGCTCAGAGAGGTGGGTTGACTTTCCTGGGGTCACACAGCCAACAAGAGGCAGAGCTGGGCAGGAAGTGTGTGTCTCTCTTCCCGACTGCCCATGATTCTGCCTCCCTTGCACCCACCTCGCCCCTCAGAGGAATCTGAGGCTGCCCCCAGCTGGGTGCTCTGCAGGCCCAGTCTCTGACTGCAGCTTTCCCAAGAGTGTTGATTGGCCAGGGCTGAGGCAGGCTCAGAAAATCTCCAGGACTTGTTCTGGTGAGGAGGTTAGAAACTTGGTGGGCTTCACCCAAATCTCCCCTGCCTTCGGGCCCTCTGCTCCTGGGACCCACCCACCCAGCCTTGGCCCACGGAAAGCGGCCCCGCCTTGGCTGCAGTTTTCCATCTCTTAACCAGGCCAGGCTGGGGCAGACCAGAGTGTCCCTCCCACTCTTCTCCCGGGTCCCCGGCTAGGCACAGCCCGCAGCTCCCGGACTCCTCAGGGAAGCTGTCTTCTCACCTGTGTGCACGTGGAAAAGCTGAGGCTTGGAAGATGGGCAGCGCTTCACTGAGGCCCTACTGTGCGCTGCACTCCTGGGACCTGCCTTTTTCTCCCATCCTGCCCAGCCTCCTCTCCCTGGTATACCTCAGGCCCCCAGAGGGGACTGGCACCTCTTCTACCCTGCCCTTTCCTCTCAGCCTCACAGTTGGAGAGCCCCCCATAGCTCTGGGACCTCATTGTTGGTTGCTGCCTGCAGCCCGGCAGGCCCTTTGTGTCTTACATAGCCCCTTTGGCCACCTGTGTACAGCAAAGTACTATGCCCTCCAGCGCCCCTGCTCTGACTGTCCATCATAGTAACCCTTGTGGTTTCAGGTGTGGTGGTGCCACCCCATGATGGGTCACCCCTGGGGAAGTGAGGGCACTGACTATTTTCCCCAGGGTGGGGTGCCAGGCCAGGCAGGTGGGATACAGAAGGTGTGGGCTGGTGCATCCCTGCTGAGTGTGTTTCTCTGGGAGCTGGGATCATGGGGGCTGCATGTGTGGCTGGGTGCTGGCCTTCCAAGGAGGCTCTGTGAGCCCTCTGCTTCCACCCCACCCCGTTGGAGAGAAGACATTCGCACCCACCTCTCACCCTGCCCCTACCTATAGCCCCTGCAGATCGATGATGACTTCTGTGGACAGGACTTCAATCAGCCTCTGGGGGGCACAGTCACCATCGAGGGCACACCCCTGTTCGTGGACAAGGACGATGGCCTGACCGCTGTAGCCGCCTACGACTACCAGGGCCGCACAGTGGTATTTGCTGGCACGCGGAGTGGCCGCATCCGCAAGGTCAGGCCCTGCTGGGGAGAGGGCAGGGGTGGATAAGAGTGCCACCTGAGGTGGAGGACGGCTCTGACTGGGACAGAGGGACAGCAGGCTGGCTGTGTCGGTGGGGGTGGGGTGGGCTCTGCGGCCCCCTCCCTGCCGCCCTGCTCCTGCCCTAGGAGATCTGGTGTCTGCTGAGACAGCGCTCTGCCTGCTCCCACCACCCTGCCCTGCACCAGGAAACAAGGGCAGGGGAAGGGCACCCCCCCCAGCCTGCCAGAGCAGGTGTGAAGAGCAGGGAGGCTGGAGGGACTGTGGGCCCCTGGGGTAAGAGTGGCACATACAGTAGCTCCTCTGATTTCTGGGTCTTTTCCCCCCAGGAATGCCAGGCAGGATGGAGCTGGGTGCCGAGTGGGCAGGGGAGTGTCCTGTAGGCTGTATGGTGAAGGGCACTGCCCACGGGTTTGTGGTCAGCAGCAAAGGGGGCACAGGAGGCTGGAAGAAGAAACCTGAGGCAGGTGGGGTTGCCTGGGGGTCACCAGGGCTGGTGAGCAGGGGCCTCAGAGATAAAGTAATAGCCCCAGGCTCTGTACTGACACAGGTACCTGCCTGCCCACCTGTCCTGCACCTGTGGGTAGAGCTGGGCTGTGGCCAGGGAGGGCCTGGTCTCCACCCCTGTGCTCCTGGCTCTGATGGGGAAGCACCAGTCTCAGCATCCTCTCTGCAAAGTGAACTTGAAGGCCACTGGCCTTGGGGCCAGTGGGGGCTGGGCTGCTGACTGAGGGCCCCCAGGGTGGATGTCCTGTGCTCTGCTTATGGCACTGGTGGAAGGGGCAGGTTCAGGCCAGCCCAGCCTGGGTGCTCTCCATTTAGTACTGCCCTCTGTCCTAGACCCACTGTGATGAGGGGAGGTAGGTAGCTCCTGATGCTTGTGGGCCTGGTATTACTTGTATGTACAGGCGACCCTGTCAGACCCCAGTGGCCTCAGCAGTGCAGGACCTCATCCTGGGCACCCAGTCTTCCTGCCCCAGGAAAACCAGACTGGATGTGGGGGTTGATAGAGTGGTCTGGTGATATCAGAGCCCTCAGGTTGAGGAACTGTCTCCCCATCCTGTTAGTGGTTCTGCAGGGTTCCCTTGAAGACACAGATGTGAGAGGTCTTGCAAACAGTCCATACACGTCCCAGTGATGGTCTTTCCTGCCCCAGGGTATGTACATGGCTGAGTTGTGTGACCTCCAGCTCTGCCCAGCCTGTCAGCCTTTCTGAGCTTGGCTTTCCAGTTCTGCCCAGAAAGACACACCCCTCTCGGGGGCCTCACAGCAGCCCTTTCACTGGTTTGACAGGTCAGGAAACTGAGGCACAGAGCAGTCACAGCATGCTCCCAGGGTTGCTTCTGTCCCTTTCTGTCGATCCTTAGAGGAAGAAAGTTAGGTCTGCCCCTGGCCCCACCTGCTCCTGCCCTGGGGGACTGGCCTCAGGATCCTCCCACAGCCCAGGACTCGATAGTGCCCTACCCCTCTGTGCCCTTGGACTGGCCCAGGCCCTGGCTGCTGTGGTGGATTTGAGGATGGGGCAGCTCTACACCCTAGTTCCTGGGTTGCTCTGAGGCATGCTCAGTGTGGGTTGGGTATCCCTGTGCCCGCCTGGGTCCCAGCCCTGGGCCTCTGGCCTCCATGAAGGACACCTGACCTTGGTGGCACAGGCTCTTTTGGGCCTGGCCTTGGGGCGGCAGTACTCACGTCTTTCTCTTGCCTTTGGGGGCGGGATGGCTGTGAGGAGGGCAGGCCAGGTCTCACTGGCTGCCCTGCCGGGCCTTGGGGAGGGCTGGCCCTTGACCCCACAGATGTCTGAGCACCATGGGTGCTGCCTCCCTGCCTGTCCTTTCTCTGGGCCGCAGGCTGGAGCTGGGCCCCGGAGACTCCCAGCCCACCACCTGACCCAGGGCAAGCCTGCGGTGGCGCTGGCCACTCCCTGTTTTCTGAGGCCTGTTCTCTCCCTGGCTCTAAAAGCGTCTGAGGAACTCTAGAGACTTGGCTGGCCATGGGCCAGCCCCTGCCAAACGTGTTGTGTAAAATTGTAGCTGATTAATGTAAGACCTGCCAACTTCAGCTGCTCGGGCGGCTGGGGATGCCCTGCCTCCCCTCCTCTAGAGCACTCCCCCTCGGGGCTGCCTCCCCTCTGCTTTCTGTATGCCCCTCCCAGCACTGAGGGGTGCAGCCCTGAACACAGACTCTAGTGGAGCCTCCAATCTGGGATTCTCTGGGGTCAACCTGGTCCCCTGCTAGGGGCAGAAGGAAAGGCAGGGAAAGTACTGCCTAAGGACAGGGAGCGGGACCACCTTAGTGCCCGCATAGTCTGTCCTACCTAGGCCATTCTGCAGAGCCAAGGGTCTGGGCCCTACATGAGGCCCAGTCTGGCCTTCTGGTGGCCACACTGGGCAAGTGTTGACCCATCTGCCTGGTCATCTGGTTTTTCAGGGGACTCTGGATACTGTGTTTTGTGTGAGATCTCTGATTATTCAGCACTGGCATTGAATCTGTGCTGTGAGAACTTGATAGGGCTGGCTCTGGTATGCCTCCAGTCACCAGCTTGTGGCCAGGGACCTGTGCCACAGCACTGTGCAGCCCAGGAAAGTGGCATTGTAGGCCCCAGGGCAGGACCTGAAGGTAGCACCGACTTGCCATAGCCAGACCCCACCCACTCAGGCCTGTTTCCCGCCCTGGTCTGCCCAGGTTGCTCAGGAGCTGGGGGAGGCTCTGGTGCAGTTTCTCTAGTGTGCAAGACCTAACATGCCCTCTCTCTGCTGAGATCCCAGCACAAGGCGGTGGCCACAGAGCTCTGTTCTCAGTTGACCTGGCCAGGCTGCTGGCCGCCCTGTACACATAACCTTGGCCACAGCTGGCTCCACAGAGTCTGTTGCCGCACCTGGCCAAGCTGGGGTCTCATTAGCACCCCCAAGGCTCTGTGGAACAGCTGTGTCTCTGGAGAGCTCAGGAGCCCCATGGTGTTAGTCACTTTGTCCCCAGAGCTTTGGGGGTGACGGCCTGTGGGGCAGGCACAGCTGCCTCTGCCTGGCCTCTTCCTTTTGTGGCTCCCTCCTGAGTTCCTGCTGTGTGCCACTCTAGGCCTGGGCTGCTGTCACCAGCTGCCTCTCCTGCCGCCTGGAGGCCCAGAGCCTTGGTGGCTCTATGTACTGTCAGCCCTGCTGTGGTTTGCCTGTGACACTGAGGAGGGTGTCACTGGAACTCATGCCAGCATCAGTGAGGTCCCAGAGCCCCTCCCTGGCCCTGCCCATTCCCAAAGGCCTGCCCACCCCGCTGGCCTCTTCCTGGGCTGTGGTGCGGGCCTTGGAACCTCTGGGGCTGAGTCATGCGGTGTGTTTTCTTTGTCTTCCTTTGCTCAGCATTGTAGGAGGCTTCCCTTCCAGAGCTTGTCCCCACAGCACACCCGTCCATGTGTCCATCTGTGAGCAGCACAGCTCCATGCCCCCAGCATTTTGTGCGTGGGTTCTGGCCAGAGTGGCAATGAGCTCTGGCTGCTTTCTGCCCAGGAGTTCAATGGCCTAGACCTCTTTTCATCTGATCTCCAGTCAAGATTATATCTTGTTGTGTGGACTGGGTGAGGGACTTTACCCATTCATGTTCTGTCTTGCTGGTGGTTATCTCAGGGTTGGCTGCCCCTGTTTGCTGAGGACAGTGGTCCCAGCACCTTTGGGGGTATCTCTGGGAGTTTCTGGGGGGTGCATGGTGCCCACTCTGGTTCTCTTTGGTGAGGTCCACTATTGCGAGCTGAATCAAGACATGGGAGGGACTTCACATTCACCTGTGGGTGAAACTGGTGCTTTTGTGGCCACTCATTGCAGAGCCAGTGGACCGTGAATGTGTGTGGGCATTGCTGGCAAGGTCTCCACCAGGCTTGGGTGGAGGGCCCTGCAGCAGGCACTCAGCACCCTGGTGAGAAGGCACTTAGAGTGCCAGCCCACAGCGGCCTCCTGTATCCTGTCCCAACCATGCCCGGTGAGGGTGACCTCCTGGGCACCGCCCCCATGGACACACAAGGCCTATGTGGTGAAGGAAGGGCTGGGCGTCTGCTGGGAGGGTGTTCTGGGGACAGGGAACAGGAGGGTCAGAGCTGGTGTGGGTAGGGCCTCAACTGCAGAAGTTGCAGTCCTGGTTTCTACAGCAGCCCTGTGGTGTTCAGTGTGGTATGGCAGGAGGTGTGCGTGGGGTGTGGGTTAGCGAGGGCCCTGGGAAATGCTGGGGTCCTTAGGTCCTAGCCTGTATGCAGAGTGGACTGCAGAGAACACTTGTCAGAGTGGGCTGAGGCATGGAAGTTGCAGAAGGCAGGCAGGCAGGCAGACGAGTGAGAGGCCAGGGACAGTGGCTTGTGGGTCTGAAACTGAGACCCCAGGCCAGGCAGCCTCTGCCTCCCCTGTAGTGGGACCTGATATTGGGTCAGGCCCAGGCTACTGTGGGAACCCCAACTCAGCCCTAAATTGTATGGTCAGTGGTATGACTGAGGCCCTGCGGTGATTGGTGCTGTCCTGTGGTCTGACCTCCACCCACAGCAGGTTCTGGATTTGGGGACCATCTCCAGACAGGCTCTAGGTATCACCCTGCCCCCTTGGACCTGTGAGCTCCGTTCTCACACAGCCCCTTAAGGTGGATGTCAGCAGAGGAGGAGCCCAAGGGTCAGGATGGCCCTGCTTGCAGAGAGGTCACACAGCTAAGGCAGACTGGAGCTGGCTGGACACAGCCTTGCTGTCCTCCACCTGCTGAGGCTCTGACCCCTGGTCCCCACTGTCCCCCATGTGGTTGAGATTGGCAGTGGGAAGGATGAGATTCCTGGGACAACCCCCCATACCACCAGGTGTGTCTGATGTTTGGCCCAATTACAACCATCAGCCCCTCCGCAAATCATGTTTTAATTACCCAATTACTGCCAGGAGGAAATCACTAATTGCTTTTCCAGTATCAAATTCCTCCTGGCCTTTGAGAATGGAGGGACCAGGAAAGGGGACTGGAGCCTGTTTTCAGCCTGAGGTGGGTGAGTGGCCTGCAAAGGATCAGGAGCAGTCCTCCAGGGAGAGGGAAGGGTGGCTCTGCACCCCTGGGAGCTCCTGAGGAGCAAGAGTGGTGGGGACCCCACCCATCACACAGTCCCCTCCCAGGAGCAGTCCAGCTGGGACCAGGCTTGGTGGCTGCATCTGTAGAAGGATGTGACATCCTCACGGGCTGCTACCTGTCCCCATCCCATCTCGTCCTTCCCCAGCCCTGGGTACCAGGAAAGAGCTCAGTGGGTACCCTCTTCGCAGGCAGGGGGTTGGGGGTAGAGCTGCCATCACAGGGTGGGCAGAGCAGGGCAAGCCTTCCCTGGCCAGGTCAGGGCCAAGCAGGGCAGCCCCCTGCCTCCGGGCAGCTAGGGCGCGTGCCGGCCTTGGCATGCAGCCTGGATGGCTCAGACATCCTCCTCAGCCCCCGCCTGCCCTCAGCCTGGAGAATGGGCCCTTTGTTGCTTGGGGCTGGATGGACAGCTGACCTGGCCAGGCCATCAGCTGCCCGCCGCCTCGGTGTGATGGGTGCAGGCAGCTGGCTGGGCAGTGCAGGGCTCAGCCCCCACCGAGCTGCCTCTCAGGGCCCTGGTGGGGCCTCAATGACAGTGGCCAATGGGGGAAAGGATCAGGGACCTTGTATGGTGGGGAGGCCAGACCTCACCTCCCTGGTCTCCAGAGGCTGCTGGGGCCTGGCCTGTTCTCTTGTTAGGAGAGTCCAGGGGACAGAGGTCCCTGAGGCTGGGAATGCCCAAGCAGAGGCTAGTGGGGGTGATCTGTGTGCCCTGAGCTGGGGTCAGTGGGTGCTGGGGCCTGGCACAGCCTGGGGCTGCTGGAGGGGGTTCAGTGGCCCCTGAGCCCTGTGAGGAAAACGGAGAGGCATCACATCAGAGGGATGTGTCCCTGAGGAATGTGTGGACAGGCAGGCAGGGGGCTGTTGGGGTCTGTTGGGGGCCTGGTGGTCTTTGGGCAGAGGTTTACAGAGCAAGGAGACTACGGCAGGAGGTGTGGGCACCTGAGATGCCCTGGTCCAGCTGCCTCCTGGTGGGCTGCCTCTGGGTGGGTGGCCTGGGCAGACAGCTGTGGGCCGAGGCTGAGGGCATTGGCACATGGGCCCTGCTGTCATGCCAGCCACCCTGGCCCTGTGCTTGCCCCGCTTCCTGTGCCCCAACCCTCCGGGGTGCCCTCTTGGCCAGGTGATGGCTCCCTCCCATTCTGGTGCAGTATCTTTCCCCGGACAGTACAGGGTGCGGGGCTTTGTGGCCACCTGGCAGGTCCTGTGCATGATTCCTTTTTCTCCCATTTGAAGGTCCAGGGAAGCTGGCAGGGCCATGGGATCTTTCAGCCTGAAAGCATGTCCTGAGAGCTCATTCCATGCCCAGTGCCCCATTACTCGTGTGTCGGGGTCTCCATCAGGCCCAGGCCTGTAGCCCCCTCTGGCTGGTGGCTGCTTTCCCAGGACCCCATCTCTGGGACCTGCTTGTGCATGATGAGTAGGTGTGGCCTATTGCTGGGCAGGTGGATGGACAGCTGGACACACGTGCCCCCAGCTGCAGCTGTCGGTGCCACCTGTTCCAGGCGGCTGAGTCGGCGTGCTGCCGGTACAAGGGGGCCAGACTTCCTGGGACTCCATTGGTCTTGTCTATGTACTGGGAAGAGGCTATATGTCATTTAGGGAAACTGCAGCAGGGAGCTGCAGCACACACTGAGATGTGTCCCAGCCATGTGTGGACTCAGGCTGTGCAGGTGCAGAGGTGGGCTCCTGGCCTGTGTCCCATGGGGGCCTGGCTGGCATGAGCTGATCCTGCTCCCTGAGCAGAACCTGAGCCTGGATGCCAGGCAGGCAGGCAGCCTCTGGCCTTTGTGGTCAGTGATTTCTGCCCAGGCTGCACCCCTGCTCTGGCTGCACACTGGCAGGCCTGGGTAGGCATGGGTGGGTGAGCTGGGTATAGGCCGAGCTGTGTCCACAGCCATGCTCAGAGGACACCAGGCTGCTGGGGCCCACAATGCGCCCATGCCATCCCCTTTTCCCTGCACCCTTTATCCAGAGTCGTGGGCCAAAGTTTGGTCAACCATGAGCCCAGACCCTGAAGGCGTCCCAGCAGGGCCTGCCTGCGATGCCTCCTCCCCTACCCAGCTCTTCCGGGTCTGGTTCGATTTAAGCCCAAACCCACTTGGTGGGGAGGCAGCTGAGCGGATGTGGGGGGGTGGCCAGCAGCGCTCAGGAATGCAGCCCTCCCCCTCTCCTACAGCCAGCAGCCGCTTTGGCCCTAGGACACAGCGCCCCACCCTGGCTGGCCGCCCTCATCCAGCCCTGTCCCTTAGCGAGGAGGCACAGAGAGAAGGGCTCCTGAGCTGTGGGCCTCCACCACTACTGCCCCACGGTAGAGGTAGAGAGATGAGCGTCCAGGGGTTGAGACCAGAGGCCAAACAGGCTGTGGGCAGGAGCAGTTGAGTCCCCATGTGGGCAGACACACCCCAAGAGTTCCAACTCTGGAAAGCCCCCTGGGTCTCTCTGTTAATTAAATACATTTGTTTGGTAAAAGCAACTAAAAATACTTGCAGCATCGTAGGCTGCGGAGAAGAGCTGGCTAATTAACACTCGGTTTGTTTGGGATCTGGAATACATTTCCATGCCGATGAGACGCCTCTCCTCTGCCGCCCGCCTCCTGGCTAGCGGTGTCCCCCACCCCTGGGACACCAGGCCCAATCTTGGCCTCCCCACCCCTGAGTCTCCTGGACTCCCCACCGTCTCTGCAGTCCTGGGGAAGTTGGGGGTGGCCCCAGGCAAATATGAAGCCTGAGTTGTTGAAGGTCTTAGCGAGTGCTGGGGGAGGGGCCGGGATCCTGGACTAAAAGTGAAGTGGGCAGAAAGGTGTGAGCACAGTCCCATTTGGCCTTTCACTGCCACAGATCCTGGTAGATCTCTCCAGCCCTGGTGGGCGTATGGCCCTGCCCTACGAGAGTGTGGTAGCCCAAGAGGGCAGCCCCATCCTGCGTGACCTGGTCCTCAGCCCTAACCACCAGTATCTCTACGCCATGACAGAGAAGCAGGTGGGTGCTGTTGTGTGCAGTAGGCGTGTGTGCCTGGCGGGGTCTCCTGGCTGGTGAAGGAGGCCACCCTCCTGTGTGGCTGCATAACCACAGAGACAGCTGTTGGCAGAGAGCAGTCCTGGAGCTAGTGTTAGGGAGCCCTTGAGCCTTTGGGCCTGGAGCTGGAACTCTGGGGCTATGGCCTGATCCAGCTCTGGCCTTCCTGTCCAGGGGTCTGTGACCATGACCTTGGTGGCCTAGGGTGGGCCCAGCTCTGCTTCTCAAGGCTGTGGAGCCCCTTCTGCCTTGTGTACCCTGTGGCAGGTGGAGGGAAGGCAGCCTGCTGGGTCGCCCTTGCTCTCCTCTTTCATGTCCTTGAGTGGGTGCCCCTGCCCGAGGGCAGCCCATGGAGCCTTGTGGGACATGTCTGCCTCTGTCCTTTACTCCTGGGCCCCTTGGTCCTCAGGAAATCCCGGGCCAGGACAGAGTCTGCAGGTGGGAGGTGATGGCTGCCCCAAACCATAGGTCCTCTGGTGGTTGCTCACCCATGTGGACACTGACTCTCCAGCTGCTGCTACTCTGATCTCCAAGGCTACAGCAGGGCCACTGGTATTGGCACCAGGGAAGGCCTGAGCCAAGACTCCCCCAGTGTGTGGGGTGCAGTGTGGCGCTGCAGGGCCTGACCTCTCGGCCCTTCAGGTGACACGGGTGCCGGTGGAGAGTTGTGTGCAGTACACGTCGTGTGAGCTATGCCTGGGGTCCCGCGACCCCCACTGTGGCTGGTGTGTCCTGCACAGCATGTGAGTCTGGCGATGGGTGGGTGGGCAGGGTGGAGTCTCAGTACCTCAGATGGCCTGCGCTCCCCTGGGCTTTTCTGTGTCCCCCTGGGCCTGCTGACC